GGGCAGGTAGCGAGGAGGGCGGGGGAGGCGCGCGCGGGAAGAGGCAGAAAGTCCTGTTAACTCCTCAGCTCCCGCCCGCCCTCCCGCGCCCGCGGACACGCGTGGGGATAGGGCGGCCGGGGCCCCCGCTGCGCAGCCCGGCTGCTCCCCGCGTGGCGAGGGCTGCCCACTCGTGTCCCCCCCGCAGCATCCCCACCTCTCCCGGCAGCTCTGCTCCGGGACAGAGCCACTGCCCCCTCTTCCAGCATCCACCACTGGGAAGTAAGGTGGAAAGAGACCCAAGTGCTTTAAGCCACTGCAATGGGTTTCACCCCCTCAATATCCATAATAAATGCTTGTTTTCAGCATTTGGAGCTGAATTTCAGCATTTGCCTGGAGAAGCAATGGCTTTGAGGGGACTCAGCAGCAGCCCCCCAGGACCTCCAAGGAGACTATGGAGAAAATGCCTTTGCTGTGGTGCTTGGCATGAGGCAATGAGTATAACCCAAGAGGTTCACACGGAATATAAGGAAAAAACTCTCATGGAAGGCCCAGCAAGTCATGGGGTAGGCTTCCCAGAGGGCTAGGTAGGCAATCTCCAGCATTCCTGGAGGATATCAAGACCRGCCTGGATAAAAGCCTGAACAATGTATTCTGATCTCACAGCTGATCCTGCYTGGAGCACAATATTGGGCTAGAAACCTCCTGTGGTGGCTTCCAGCTGAATTAGCCTATGATCCCTGTGTCTTATTTATGGCCTTAAGAGGTGCAGTTCTTCCCTCCTTACTTTGCAGTGAGGTCCTGACTTTGTTCTGTATCAGAACTGATACCAGAGAACCTGAGCCATTCCTCTGTGCTGAATGACTTCCTTATATTCTTTCAGGTGATCACTGGAAGAGTTGAGAAGTTACCTGTAGATGCCAGTGACCCATTCTTTCATTTTTTGTATAACAAGAAAAGTATTCCTCTGCTTCAGGCACTAGGCAAGGATTCAATATCTTGAATTATATGGACTTTATTTCATCTCTGTGAACCTTATTTTCATACCTCTGTGATACAGGTGTCACTTCCCTTCAGCCAGACCGTTCTTCTCAATTTAGTTCAGAGAACTGACAGCAAGGTGTGGTTTTCCTTACATATATCTTCTGCCTCAGAGCTACAAATAAGGCTGACTTGCTCTTCCAGATTGAATGCACCAGTGCCTAAATCTCCATAAATGCCTTTATAGTCAAGCCAGTCCCACAGACACATTGCAGAGAGCAGTCCCTCTGTCCCTAGCATGAGGTCCCACTAGTGTCAGGATGTTGACCCTAGTACTCATCCATATCCACAGTGAGCTAGCTTACTCACTAAGCTAATCCTGCAAAGAAAAGGGACCTTTTCAGCATCAGTGTCAGATTAGGCTATCTGTCAAATGAATGAAGTAGTTGTAACCTGATCTTTTGGCTACACTGTCCTAACAGGGACTGCTGCTAAAATCCTTCCCACAACCAATAGATATGTACTCCCTTCCCATCCCTTATTGGGATCTAGTGACTATCTGACCTGATGGACAAGCTGATGAAAAAATAACATCACAAAAAAATGTGATTTCTACTGGCCATAGAGCTRATTTAGTCCACCTCGTGACCACACAGTCTCAAGATCCAGGGATGCAAAATCCAAACAGTAAGAGAGAGCAGACCTACTATATCATTAGATCAACTTGACTGGTACCAACAACCAGAGGACATAACATGAACCAGATCAGAGAACCAATCCATCTGAAATTAAACCATTTAAAATAAAATAATCTGTGTAGCTGACTGAGATGGCTGGTTGCAAGACACATATTTATTGAGAGACAAAAGCCAGAAAAGCGACAGGAATGCTCTCTGCAGTGGCTGCCATAACTTAGGTCAAAAGTGTGCTGCAGGCCCCTCAACCTTCCAAAAGTGCCAGGTGGATCCATGAGCCCCAGTTTGCAACATAACTCCAGTTCCAGTTGCAAAAGCTAGTGGAATTACACCATAAACACGTTTCAGCCAAGGCTGTACTGCATAATCAGACACAAGGAACACAGCATTCATTTGGTWGCTCTATGCAATGCCTTGTGTCCCAAACATTTCTATTATTTCATTTGATTTGTGCCTCCGAGTGCCCGGCAATGTGTTTTTGACAGCTGTGTCGCCTGGCAGCCACTTTGTCGCAGCTCAAGATGCAATTATGAAGGAGGTGTATCCGTAATACCCGAAAAGATAATGGATCTTTAGTGTATAGGCTTCACAAAAAGACCATGTTCTCTGTCCAAGTCTCTAGGCGCTGCTGTAATACAAGCAGCAACAAGACAATTCAATAAAGTGTGGCTTAATGTGATAAACTGGAGTATAAACAGAAGTAATGTGATTATGTTACGAAAGGGTAAAATTATGCTCATGCTCAGAAATCGGTTTGTTTGTTTTTTGCCAATCAAGATAAATATAACTTGTGAATGGTATCTAAAGCAAAACAAATATGCTGCTTAGCATTTAAAATAAGGAGCTGCTGAATAATAAAATTCAGGCAAAGAAAAAGGCAACAAAAGGGATTAGATAGTAGTTAGGTCTGTCTAACTCCAGTTTGGATCATTCCAATTTTTAGAAGATCCTGGTAGCAATTGTCTAAAACCTTGTACTGCGTTTTTATAAAACCAGAGAAGACCTTTTATAGCTTAAAAAGTGAGTGCGATATTCATTCTTTTTCCTTAGAGAAAAGGGGAAAGGGAGCTCAAAGCTTGATGTGGTGAGGAAATACTTGACAGAAAAGTCTTATTTTTAAAAAAAGTCAGTGTGTTGCACTCAAAATGTTTTGTTGAAAATATCTAGATTTCAATGAACTTCCAGTGAACCCGGCAGAGTTTCAGAGGGAACCTGCTCTGTGTTCTTGGCAGGGCTGGCTCCACATTGACCATGATTTCCTGCCCCTTATAGGCATCAGCATTGAGCACAAAAAGGACATCAGTCCCATTGACCCTTTGCCAAAGCTGAGGAACAGCCAGTTCTTCACAATTTAACACTTTTCATTTAATCTGATATAAACTGTCTCCAAATAGTCCTACCAGAATGCCTAGACTTGGATATACCTCCCAGAGTAGGGTCAGGACAAGGTGCTGTTAACTCACTTGCAGGAAAGCTTCTCTCTGCATAGGAACATATATGTTTTAAAAATACAGGATGGAGTCTTAAGACTATGCAAGTTGACTGCAACTTTACAGATGTGGGGCCTGGGAGTGTCTGCTTTTTATATATGTGTTTATTTATCTTTAACATTGTAATACAGTCAAAAATGCAGTAAAAATAGTACAAGCCGTTTCATGCCTGAGAGTGTTTAATATCAGTTTTTAAGTAGATAATTGCAAAAAGGATTATCTCGGATCAGGCAGTAAAAAAAAAGCATAATAATTCACTCAGGATTTAAAGTATTACGACTTCTTGACTTTATCAAAATAATCAATAAATGCAGCTGTGGTCTCTGCCTCTGTTAAGTGAAGTCAGACTGTGCAGGAATCTAGGAGATCTAATGCATACTGGGGTGCTAGGGCCAGATATGAGGAAGCCATATAAGTTACCTAACAGGTTGTGATCCTGAGCTAGCAACTTGCTCCAGTTTCTTTCAAAAATTTTCCCTGKCCTGGCAGGAGCTGCTCAAAATAAAGCATTCTTTCCAAAGCAACAACAACGCRTGTACAAGCAGCCAAACATCACTGCCTCTTTCTCAGGCAGTCCTGCCAGAGCATGAGGGGTGGAGGGCAGGGAACGTTATTTTACCTTATTAGAGACTGTCTCTACTCCTTCTTCCCATCTACTAAGAAAGCGTGCATGCAGCTTGTGCTTCATGTCTGCAGGGAGCCTCATGTCTGCTGCATGTTCTGCCATGCAGGAAGAGGCGAGCCATGTGCTGCCCACCTCCCTGCTCCGCATCCTCATTGACTTCAAGAGAGGTCSTCTTCCATGGGACTTATCCCCAGCTCTCCTGAGAGTCATATCCTACAGGTTTGATCAGACAGCTGCTGCTCTGGCACCTCTGCTTGTCACGCTGCAGTCTCTCGCTYGCCCACTCTCTGTAACAGCAGCAACAACAGGGGTAGGCAGGATGGCTTTGCATCGTGCTGCTGCTTTGGTGCCTCAAAGGAGTTTTGAAGTGGTTTCCACAACCACAAGAAGCAAAGGAGATACATGCTTCTCACTCCTTGACCCATGGCACAAGCATGGCAAATGACCATCCAAGCACAATGCGATGGGCTGCAGACGTGCGCTGTCAAAAAGTGGGCTTCTTTCACCCCAACATGGCTCTCTGCTTCGGAAAGTGCTTATTGCTGCATCCAACTACAAAACAAAATCAGTCTATTTATGCTGAGAGCTGCCAAAGATGTTATTTTTGGCTGAATAACTTGCTCCATGTTTTTGAGTTGTTAGCTTCCTTTCACTTGATCAAAGAGTGGGATCTCAATTACTTTGGATAATGTTATGTTGGATAATGCCAACTTAGCGCAAATAAAAAGTATAAATCAACTATCAGGGGCATGTAGATAGAATCATAGAATCATAGAATCATAGAATCATAGAATCATAGAATCATAGAATCATAGAATCATAGAATCATAGAATCATAGAATCACAGAATGCTTAAGGTTGGAAGGGACCTCAGAGGTCATCTAGTCCAACCCCTCTGCTCATGCAGGGTCACCTAGAGCACGTGGCACAGGGCTGTGTCCAAGCGGGTTTTAAAGATCTCCAAAGAAGGAGACTCTACAACCTCTCTGGGCAGCCTGTTCCACRGCYGTGTCAYCCTCACTGTCAGGAGCATGTATCCATATATATTTTTTAAGTCTT